AAATATAAACTTTTGATAAATTTCTAGAAAAATACTTCGCGCACGAGAAAGAGAGAGAGAGAGAGATTGAGACATTAATTTTTCAATCGTTGATAATAAAAAGAAAAATATTCCGTAGAAATAATTAACGCATGAGGAAAAAAAAATATATATATATAATTCGAGACTTACTTTTTTTTTATCGATAATTCAAAAAAAAAAAAAATGATTTTATATATTTCTTCTTCTTTTTTTTTTTTTATCTTCTTCTCGTTAAAACTTGTTGGTATATTGTTTTTTAATTAATCGTGGTATAAGTTTCGTGTTATCGTTTTAAACAATTTTACATTAAATGCAAATAATAGAAGATAATCATGTTATAATAATTTAACTAACTTTATCCGATCGATTGTTGCATCATATAAGAACATTTTCCTATATATATATGGGGTTGTTAATTTTGATCGTTAATTAAGATAACTAAATGATACTCTACCATAACAACTGATGTGTTGCTGTTATTGTTGTTGTTGTTGCATGGTATATAATCATCATTTACAATGATAACTATCGTTTTAAATTCGTGGTCACACCATTTTCTCTGTTTTACATTTCTCATTTATATTTTTTATTTTAATTTTTTCAATAAATGTAATGTTGTTGTTGTTGTTTAATATGGAAATGTATTTACGTAATAAAAGGAATAATTATTTTGAAGAAATCTTCATTAATAAAAGGAAACCTTAAAATTGATTTGAATCAATATTTAATAAATAAAATATTTTAATAACAATATTGAACATTTCATTTGGAATTTAATTCCTCCACGTATTCGGGGATTTTGTAACGATTCAACAATAATAATATACTTTAAGTATTTTTAAATTCTTATATATGGTGTCCCATGAATACTCGTAACATGCGTATTATTATCATCCGTTAAAATGAAATTAATTAAATTTTGTGATAATTCATATAATTGTTGACGAATAAGTTGGATTTCTTTTTTTCTTTCTCGTTCAGTGTTATCGATGAATAAATGTTAATCAAAAGAATATACAAATTTCATTTATTATAATATATATATATTTAATAATACATTTACACACATAAATATAATTATAAAATTAAAATAAGAAAAGAAATAATCATATTAACTTTTAACTATTTGATCA